CATATTCGCCGATTCCGATATATCGGCGACCGGCTCATATCGGCCGATAATATCGGGCAAAACGATATATCGGTCGGGCTCTACTTTTCACGGTACAAATCATTGCAAAGCAACTTTACAGCAAATTAATACCACGTATAATCACAATAATCACATCTATTAACTTTACAATCCTGCTACTAGCATTTTATTCGGACTAAATTCCCTTTAAATCGGGTGAGAAAGCGGGTTTTTTTTTTTTTTTGAGTAACTTTTGCACATCCTGTCATGCCGGGCTGCATATGCATTTTGCAGCATTAAGGTTAACGATTAATCGATCAATTGATCATTCATTTAAACGACGATCGATCATGGAAATGATCGAAAATTGACATCCCTACTACACATATGATAATATTGTACATAATCTAGCACCAGTAACAATGTAATTGACAGTCCAACATAGTAGATGGCAGTATCCACCTTATTTTGCAACTTCAGATTCTTTAGCTGGGTTTCCATCCAAAGTTGCGAATGTAACTTTTGTGCAGAACTGGTATATTGCATAAAACATTTGCGAATAAGCAACGTTTCCATCCAACGAGTCAAAGAGAACAAAATCGTCATTTCCTGATTAACTGGCAATATCACTAAGAAAAGTAGGAGAAGTCACTGAATATAATAATTTTCATATATAGTAAGACCCTGTTCACACTGAGACGTGTTTAGCTGTATACGCAAAAATTTTGTATCGGATTGCCATTTTGCCCCAGTCAGACACCGCTATGTCATGTAACAGCAACAACAACATGAACAAACACTGAACGATTTACTTTTTTATTAACTAACATTAACACGGATTAATAAATGTATTGTTCCATGTTCGTTTGTATACCGTGCGCAAGGTTTATGCGCATAGTCCAAATCGGCTTTTCCATTTTTAGTGTATTGCTGTGGCAGAATTACAGCGCCACATAGTGGTCTGCCATGTATACTACATCGTTTTGTGTCGGTTTCATGGTTCCGTGTGTACGCAGATATTTCTTGAGATGTGGGGAAAAAAAAGATTGTATAGGGAAAGATCTGGCTTCGTGTGGATGTAGCCCAAATTACTTGCACTTCAGAGCGAGCAGACGAAAAAAAAAATGCGGCCATTGCTTTCGGGGGTGGATGCCTGCTGTTTAGAACACAGTCGTGTAAGACAGTTCTGGGAGGCAATTATACAGAAATACTTTGATGGCAGACTTTGCTCGGGCATTTCAAAATGACCATAAAAACATTTCAGATGCTGTTCAACAAGATCAGTCCACTGGTTAGTCAGGTTATGCCGACCGATAGCGCAAAGTCACATGACTTTTTTGATGTGCATGGAAGAATTTATTCAGCAAACGTGTTTCCATCTCCAGTTATTTGCATTAACTGTTTTTCGCACAAGTCAAAACCACCTCAAGGGAGTACAAACTTTTTTGTGAATTAAAGGATTTTCTTTCGACATTTGGCGTTTCCATCACTCGTCTCTTATGCGATACTTCAAAATGCGCATAAAAATTGGGTGATGGACATATAGCTATTATCTGTTACCGGTTAATAACTAGAAGAATAACTAAGTGCAGTAAATAATGAAACTATTTCTGCTACAGCATAACCAGTGTTTATAATTATGAAAATACATTAAAATAATGTAAGAAATATTAGTTTGAAATATTAAGTGGAATAACAAGCTAATTTGTATAGCTAAAAATAACTGGATGTGGATGACACCGGAAGCTTCACACATTTAAGTTACAAAGGGCCGCTCTAAAGCCCCGTTCACACCAAGCAAGATAACGATAAAGATATAGTTCTAAAAATCGTTCTCAATATTAAAGAATAGCAGAGTCGACACCACAACTATAATGATAAAGGCACAGAGAAACTATATTGTTGGAATCACTTTCAGAACGATTTTGTCCAGCTGATGAACGCTACAAATATTGATAATCCAATCTGAATCCATCCAGCTATCATGCGCTGGAGAATTTGAAGCGGCAGACGAACTTGCGCTTAGAATAAACAGACAATATAATTTGCTGGTGTGGACGCTAATACCGTTATCTTTATAGTTATCTTTATAGTTATCGTTCTTGGTGTGAACGGGGCTTAACTCTTTAAAAAAAAAAAAGACGTACCTGCTAGACACCCCAAACTGCAGAAAGCCAGATATCGTGATGATATTGTTATTGTGTATTAATGTCAAGCCCACTATAATATTGTAGTGAAATTATGATTTAGTGACGTCCCTATTACATATGTTGACATTTATTTATTTGTTCCCCCTCAGGTCCCTATGCGTACACTGCCTCCCTCTGGCAGATGAGTAACCAGCGGGGCCTTACGTGTCGCAGTCGCACGACCAGATAGTCCCCTGCGAGCGCGGCGCGTCCTCCGGCTCGCAGCATGCCCACCACCAGCCGGGCAGGGAGCCTGAAGGACGCTGAGATCGCAGAGCTGTTCTTTAAGGAGGACCCCGAGAAGCTCTTCACAGACCTCCGTGAGATCGGTCATGGCAGCTTCGGCGCAGTGTATTTTGTATGTATCAAATGTTGCAGTGTGTAGAATAGGATTAATTATTTTGATGCATGCTACAGAACATAATGAGAGGTTTGGGAGACTAAATTCTGAGATCTGATGTGAATCTTGTTTAGGCACGGGATGTGCGGACCACAGAGGTGGTGGCCATCAAGAAGATGTCCTACAGTGGGAAACAGTCTAATGAGGTCAGTTTTCCTACATTCCACAGTCATTACATACAGTCATGCAACAGTTTGGTTGTGGATTAAGCTTTTCCTTCTGAGGGTGGGCAGAGTGATTGCATTATATTACTCTTGTCCCATGGACTTGACTTTTTCACATTCACAACTGTGGCTTGGCTCTTAAATAGTGACTTGGCACAGTAAAATTGAGCTGAAGTCAATTGCTGAAGTCACATTAAGTCTTGTGTAACAACCAGGGCTGGGAAGGTTACTTTTAAAATGTATTTCACTACAGATTACAAAATACATGCTTTAAAAAGTAATCAGTAATGTATTTCGTTAGATTACTCAGGTTTAGTAACTTAATCTAAATACTTTTGAATACTGTGAAATACTTAAGCTATACACAAAGGAACATATTAATGTCTTGTTTTTATGTTTTCCAACTCTAAATAAGTGACATCTACCAGTCATAAGATTTGCGTTTTCCTTTTATTTATCTGTTTATTTTTAACAACATCAGTTTTCCACAGTATTTCTATGAACAACAAAAATATTTTGTGTCATTTAAATCTACCAATCAATATAAATTCAATTTGAATACAATGAATGGGATTCCGTGCCGTTTCATGCTGCATTCCAAGCTTCAAAACACTTTAAGTTATTACTTCACTTATAATCCTCTCTATGGAGAAGCGATCGGCACAAAAGAATCGCCGAGTCAAAATTGACAGGGCTCGTTTCCCAAAGCAACTACCGTCGCAAGTAACTTAATGTCATTATAGTTCAATGTAATTTAACACCCATTAAACACACCCCAGATCTATTCAGTTTAATGTGAACCATTCACACTGGTTTCGTTAAACAAAATAAATGATTCATTTAAAAGATTGAATCAAAAGAATCATCTGTTCACGAATCGGATCATGAACTCGCATTACCGCACCAAAGATAATCTATTCTTGAACACTTCGAATGAATAAAGACTTGCAAGTTCATCTGTAAATCACACAAAGCTATCGTTTGACTTTATAAACTTTTATTTCATGCATGATTCGTATGGATCTGTTAACTGAATGCAAAGTGTGAATTCTAGGAGAATTCATTGTCATTTTTCAATTAAATTCTTTGAAATATTAAACGTAATGATAACCATTCAACACTCAAAATATGAGAAAATAGAAAAACGAGTTACTGGATAAACATTTTCAAAGATCAAGAACAACTTCCCTCAAGATGCCTTTTCAGATTAGACGTTGAATCCTTCGATGCGGATAGAAGTTTTGTTGCAGGTAGGCATTGCGCTGAGATGTTACGTCCTTTTTCAGATTTACAAGTAAAATAGTCTTTTTATTTCCACGAGAGAAATGCATTATGCGAATGGCTTTCTGTTGTGTCGTCCATTTTTGTGTCGTGATGATGAGCGTATGCACTCTCACTACGAGTTGCTAAATAAACAGGCTGAACAGGATTTTTTTTTTTTTATAAAAATAAGTTGCCTTATTGGTTAAAATCCCAAAACTTAAAGCGGATAGAAGTTTTGTTGCAGGTAGGCATTGCGCTGAGATGTTACGTCCTTTTTCAGATTTACAAGTAAAATAGTCTTTTTATTTCCACGAGAGAAATGCATTATGCGAATGGCTTTCTGTTGTGTCGTCCATTTTTGTGTCGTGATGATGAGCGTATGCACTCTCACTACGAGTTGCTAAATGAACAGGCTGCTGCATGCTGTTTTTGTTTTTGTTTTTTTTCAACGGACAATCAGTTGCCTTATTGGTTAAAATCCCCAAACTGTTTACTTAAATATTAAATTAAGAAATGACATTAAAATTCAAAGTAATCACTTTGGTAATCTAAAATACTTTTCGGATGTAACTGTAATTTCATTACCACCTATTTAAAATGTAATTATAACGAAATTACAGTTACTCATATTTTGTATTTTAAATACGTAACGCAGTTACATGTATTTCGTTACTCCCCAGCCCTGGTAACAACACAGATTGAAGTGAAGCACCACGGCCATTCATACTTTAGCTGGTGGCAGCGTTTCCTTTGTAATTTCAGATTAGCAGTAATCGGATTACACATAATCTCTACAAAGAATCCTTCAGAAGCTTTTAGGACTGACTTTCCTTTTCAGGACCTGTACTAGTAAGTCAGTATGTCCAGTCTGCTCACGTCAGCAGTGGATGCAGTGATCTGGTGGAAAATAGGAAATTCATTGTAGTCTTTTCTGGCTCATTTGAAAGAAGACTGTTTGATTTAATGCTGTTTTGTCTTTACTTAGAAATGGCAGGATATTATAAAGGAAGTCAAGTTCCTCCAGAGAATACAACACCCCAACAGCATAGAGTATAAAGGATGCTACCTGCGGGAACACACGGCTTGGGTAAGATCTCTCTCTTTCTTTTCTAAATTCTTCATTCTCACTGTCACCCTTTGGCATAACATGGTAATGAGTATATAAACACAGTAACTATTTTATCTCTGTGAAAATAAGCTATATGAAACAAATCCTAGTGTAAAAATTATTTTTTACTAATTTTAAATCTAGGTATGACCAAGTTGTTTTTACAAGGTCTTTTAGGTCATACAAGATTTGCGCATGGATATTTAATAAAAGGTGAAGAATCACCATCATGCCTTACTTGCCAAACTAAAATGACTGAAGCATATTTTATTGGATTGTTCTGTTTTTAATGTAAATTGACAACGGTTTTATTCAGAGGTGTGTTTAACTGATTTATTTAAAAATGTATCACCTGAATGTATTTTTAGAATTTTTGTCTAGTGTACATCTGAAATGTCTTTTATAACCTTTTGTTAATTGTATACTTTGTATAATTTATTCAAAAATTGCCATGAAAATAGCCTTGATGCTGGCATGGCATTAAAAAGTGAATAAATAAATAATTTAATCTATGCGATTCATCTTTTTTCCTCTCTTCAGCTTGTCATGGAGTACTGTTTGGGCTCTGCCTCTGACCTCCTTGAAGGTAAGACACTAAACATTTAGGCTACTTTCATTTGGAAGCATTATAAATATTTTATCCAAAATATGGGTTTTACTTATTTACTTTCAAACTTTAGTTATGATTAGGGATGCACCCCAATTAAAATTCTTGGCCGAAGCCAAACACTGAAACACTGGGCCGAAGGCCGAATACCAAACACGGTTTTTTGCAGTAGGCCTATTTTGCCTTTTTTTTTCACCATTGCATAAATTAAATTGCCAAAATCTGCTTTTTACTGTTTTGTCCTGCTTTTGAAATAAAAAATCAATTAACAAAACAACAATTTAAAAATATTTACTTAACACTGAACATTTTTTAACATTCTAGCAGACATTATACCAATCGGTATCTGCCTTTTTTTACTCCCTAATATCGGTATCGGCCCCAAAAAACCCATATCGGTCGGGCTCTAATCTCTGTAACAAAGTTCGTAGTTCAGGAAGGAGGAGGCAGGGAACCGGCGAATGCTCAAAAAAAACTTTAATAAAATAAACAAACACAAAATAGCGCGACAGCCCCGGGTACTCACGAGACTGCGCTCTACTCCCCCCCTCCCCCTCCCCCTCCTGGAGAGCCGATCAAGGCGGCCGCGGCGTACCTGGGGGTAAGGACAGACAGACGAGGCGAGAGAATGTAACCAATGTAACAAAGTTCGTAGTCATGGGAAGAAGGAGGCAGGAACCGGCGAACATTTAAACAAACCTTTAATAAAATAAACAAACACAAACTGAAAGTAAAGCGGCAGCCCCTCGCGGACGACTGCCGCACACAAAACACAAAATAAAATCCAGGCCTGGTCCTCTCTCGTCTTTCACTGTCGTAACTCCTCCTTTTATCCTTCCGGAGCTCCTCCATGACCGGTGAGTGGTGCAGGTATCGCTCATTATCAATTACTCCACCGGCCTCGCTCCGTTCCCACGGCTCTCGGCCCCGCCCCCACTGTCTGTCAAATGCATTAATGTAACTAATTGATTATCAGTTTGAAGAACATTCACCTTTGTCATTTTTGCTTAGTTCACAAGAAGCCCCTTCAGGAAATTGAGATTGCAGCAATTACCCATGGTGCTTTGCAGGGCCTTGCATACCTTCATTGCCATAACATGATTCACAGGTTTGTGGGTTTTTTGATGATCTTACACAGTGAGCACTTGTTCATTAAGTGGTGTTAGGAATTAAGAACCAGTTCCACTGGATCCGAATGATTTTCATGACACTGGTTCTGCTAACTGTTTTTGAACGTTTGCATTCTTGTGACAGAACACCTTGCATACTCTGACATGGTTTCCTGCACCTTTATTCATTTGCGGCACAGTGTAGTGTCAAAAGAAGTTGTTTTAGCTTTAGTTGTAAGGTTGCAAAAATTAAATGGATTAAATGCAGGAGACAACAAACATACACGCCACTATATTCAAATTCACCAACATACGGCTCTTAAGAGCCAATTCGTTTTAATTAATTCAAAAAGACTTACAGTTACAAAGTCACACAGATATTTAACAATTCTTCAGACACTGCCTGTGGAATCGAGGAAAACTACCTCTAATTTTGACTGTTGTGTATGCCATTTTCTTCACTCAGGGATATCAAAGCTGGGAACATCCTGCTGACCGAGCCTGGACAAGTCAAACTGGCAGATTTTGGTTCTGCCTCCATCGCCTCTCCAGCCAACTCTTTTGTGGGGACACCATATTGGTGAGCACACTGGTTATCTCGGAGTAATAATGATTCCATTCACACAGCCTGGTTACTAACATGGCCACCTCCTCTCAGGATGGCCCCTGAAGTAATTTTAGCCATGGACGAGGGACAGTATGATGGAAAGGTTGACATCTGGTCTCTTGGGATCACCTGCATAGAACTAGGTGACAGAAGTTCTGCTCAATTTAAATGAATTGTGCATTTTTTACGTTATGAAAGTCAGTCTTACTTTTGCTTCTCCCTTTTGCTGTAGCGGAAAGGAAACCTCCTCTGTTTAACATGAATGCGATGAGTGCCTTATACCACATAGCACAGAATGAGAGCCCTATGCTGCAATCAAGTGAATGGTGAGTCCACTAATATATACACAAAAATAGCAGTTTGCGTTACGGCTAGGTAGTAAATCAAAAATTGGGGTGATTATTTTTTGTGTGTATTTTCTTTGCCTATTCATGTGAATAGCAAGTATACAAGAATTAAGAAAACTGTTTTAATAAAGTTTCTGATTCAAAGGGGTAGTTTACCCAAAAATGAAAATTCTGTCATTAATTACTCACCCTCATCCCGTTCCAAACCCGCAAGACCTTCGTTTATCTTCGGAACACAAATTAAGATATTTTTGATTAAATCCGAGAGCTCTCAGTCCCTCAGACCCAGCAGCGCTATGCACATGAGTTTACATGAACCACGTGAACCGTGGTGTTTACATCAACCGGAAGCCAGCGCATGCGTTGTGATACTCTCTCCATAATGGCGGCTTGCGCTGCAGACAGGATGAGGAGGAGAAGAATTGTTGAATAAAGTCGTTATTTTTGTTTTCTTTGTGCACAAAAAGTATTCTTGTAGCTTCGTAAAATTACGGTTGAACCGCTGATGTCACATGGACTATTTTACCGATGTCCTTGCTACGTTTCTGAACTTGGGAACATTGCAGTTGTCTTGCTGTCTACAGAGGGTCAGAAACTTACCCATTAAAGGTCCCATGACATGCTGCTTTTTGATGCTTTTATATAGGCCTAAGTGGTCCCTAGTACTGTATCTGAAGTCTCTTTCCCGAAATTCAGCCTTGGTGCAGAATTTCAGCCACTACGAGCCAGTCCCACAGTGAGCTTTCCTTAGGACGTGCCATTTCTGTGTCTGTAGCTTTAAATGCTAATGAGGAGGAGAGAGGCGGGGCAACTGCCATGCTTCGCTCGTTTGCAAGCCATGATGTCTCTCGAGGAAAAAAAAATATTGCGCTCGCCTCGCACGGTAGTAGCTCA